ACGTGTCTTCTTCCGTACTGGTCTCCGTCTCGTTGGCTTCTGCTTCACGTGGGGTTCATCTGCTTCATCAGGAAATGTCCTATCATCTGTAACAGTCACATAAGTGGTAGTAACTTCATCAAGAGCTTCAACAACAGAACAAATGACGCTGCTGAAGACGTGCCACCTGAAGAAGCCACCGTCGAAGAAGAAACTCTACTCAGTTTTGAGAAGGGAAACGGCTCCTAAGTTGTCTTCTCCATGGGAAGGCCCATATGACATAATGGATCATCTCTCAGACGTGACTTTCTGTGTAAAATGTGGTCGGCGAGGTAAGCCAAAAGTGGTGCATGCCAACAGGCTTTGGCGTTATCACGGTCCAGGACATTTCAGTTGGGACGAAGTAGAAGTTATATCAAGTTGGCGCACCAATGGAAAGAGTAGCTGTTGACATTGCTGTTCCTCTGCCCCAAACTCGTGCTGGAAACAAGTACATTTGTGTGGTGATGGATTATTTCACCAAGTGGCCTGAGGCATATGCAATACCAAATCAGGAAGGTACAACTGTAGTTTCGGCTATTAGTGATTTCTTCTTCAGATTTGGTATGCCATATGAACCTGCATTCAGATCAAGGCTGTAACTTCGAATCAGCTGTGTTCGAGGAAGTCTGCAAGTTGTTTGGCATACGAAAGACTAGAATAACGCCACTTCACCCACAGTCCGATGGGATAGTAGAAAAGTACAACTGGACACTGAGACAGGAATTGGCAAAGTTTTGTAATAGCTGCCAAGATGACTGGGATGTCTTACTCCTTCCACTGTTGATGGCCTATAGGACAGCAGAGCATGAAGCCACTGGATACACTCCAGCAAAGTTTATGTTTGGTCGGGAACATCGGTTGCAGGTGGATCTGTTAACAGAACGCCCACCGTATGAAGAGTTGCCTGAAAATGTGTCAGAGTTTGTGAAAGTCTTATCGGAAAGGATGGATGATATTCACCATCAAGTGCGTTCAAACTTGAAAACGTTTGCTGATTCGATGAAGTTATCTTATGATAAGAGATCTACTGAAGTCAGCTTTGTACCAGGAGACAAGGTGTGGTTGTATATTCCCAGGAAGACCAAAGGGAAGTGATTTGAAGCACTTCCCTTATGCTTGGGTGCCCTTTTAGCACAACATGTACCGCATGTTCTGCACCATTCTTCCACATCATGCCTCATACCTATCCAGTAAAATCTCTGTCGTAGGTGATTCAATGTCTTCTTAGCTCCGAGATGTTCTCCTGTTAAAACTATCATGAGATTGATGCAGCACAACTTCCTGTAACTTTGAATCCTGATGACTGTACCAACCTTGGTACCCTTGTGCTGCCCTTAACATAAGATTCGAATTCAAGAGCTCTGGCCATTGCATCCTGCATAGTAGAGAGGTGTGCTTGTGCTACTTGTATGTTCAGTTTTGGACTGTCCAAGGCATCTACAGACTGATCCCTCAGCAACAACTTGAGGATATGGGGTGGTGCAGTTCGGAAGGCCTTGTGTGCCCTACTTTCCAAATCCTGTGCCAGCTCTTGCAGGCTCTCCCTTTAGCTCGGACTCTCATCCTAAATCTAGCCCTGTAAACTTCAGACTGGTTTTGAGTTTCATACCTGAGTTCTAGAGCAGCTATCAGTGCACTATAGTTGTGCCAGTCATCTGCTGACAACTGTCGAAGTATTTCCAGTGGTTGTCCCTTCAAGCTCGTTGCAACATACACTGCTTTCTGCTCCTCTGTCCATCTATTCATTTCTGCCAGGAGCTCAAATTGTGCTCAATATGCTTCCCACGGTGCCTTCCCATCGAATTCCAGTGGCTTCCTTCATATTAGATCACCCCTATTGCTGACACTCATGTCTGGGATGTTATTCTTACAGGACTGAAGATGTCT